AGGAGGAGGAGGAGGAGGAAGAGGAAGAGGAGGAGGAGGAGGAGGAGACCAGCCCAGCTGCACACTGGGATGTTTGGACTTGGATTTGGGGGTTCCAGGCCCTGGATGAAGCCACAGTGCTGTCCTGCCCCTGAGTGGGTCCAGGGAGGGATCACCTGCCTCTCCCAGAGGCACCTTCTCTCCTCTTTTCCCGGGAATCCCAGGATCCCGCAGGCCGGGGGGAGGGGCAGGACCGGTGTGTTCCCGGGTTGGGGAGCAGGGAAGGGGTTAAACTGCAACGTCCCGAGTGGAATTTACGGTGAGATCCTTCTCTGTGCAGCAGCTTTGATCCCAGGAGTGTCAGGGATTCCTCTGCCTTCAGGGACCTGTTGGGAGCACTGGCTCCTCTCCGGGGGAGGGGAGGTGTCCCATGGAATTCCAGACTGGTTTGGCTTGGAAGGAACCTTAAATCCCATCCAGTCCCACCCCTGCCCTGGGCAGGGACACCTCCCACTATCCCAGGCTGCTCCAGCCTGGCCTTGGGCACTTCCAAAGATGGGGCATCCTCTGAGAAATCCATTCCAGGGCCTCCCCACCCTCCCAGGGAAGAATTCCTTCCCAATATCCCATCTAACCCTGCCCTCTGGCAGTGGGAAGCCATTCGCTGTGTCCTGTCCCTCCATCCCTTGTCCCCAGTCCCTCTCCAGCTCTCCTGGAGCCCCTTTAGGCCCTGGAAGGGGCTCCAAGGTCTCCCTGCTGTGTCCCAGAGCTGCTGGTGCTGGCTGTGTCCAGCAGCAGCGCCCAGGACAGGCTGTGCCAAGGGTCAGGGGCTTGGAAAAATCACCAGGAATTCCTTCTGCCCTTCTCCCAGACCCTCCCAGCTCAGCCCTTCCCTCCTCCTCTGCCTTTGGACACCAGGAACAGATTGTGCTGGGAGAACTTCAGGCGTTACAAACAAGAAATTCCATGTCCCCATTTCCTTCGTTTTCTGCTCAGTGATAAACTGGTGCCACCACGGGCTGGTTTTGGGGAGCCCAGGGCTGGGGACAGCAGTGTCACCTGTGTCTGTGGCTGCTCCCCTGTCTGACACGTGGCCAGGCCAGTGTGGGGAGTGTTGGGCTCCAAACTGGGCAAACCCACAGGGAATCCAACTGGAAACCGCTTGGGAAAGGTGGGAAAGCACCTGGGGCTCACAGGGGGACGGGCACTAAATCCAGCCCTGCTTGGGATTTCCAGGGTGGGAAACTCCCGTCTCTGTAACCCCCAGGTGTTCTTCCCTCTTTAGGAAACCAGGCTGAGCGAGAGCAAAGGAGACAAAAATGAAGAAGAAAAGGGAAAGGAGACTCCCCCCAAAGACCTGGCCCGGAAACGAGACCCCAAAGTGGGCAAAGACTCCAAAAAGGAGGAAAGTGTTCAGAAAACAGACCCCAAAGGTAAAGCTGAGCCTGAGCCCAAGAGCAAAGAGAACAAAGCCATGAATGATAAAGTGAAGGCCATGGAGAAAAAGCTGATGGGGAAGGACAAGAAGGAGGAAGAGAAGGGCTCAGTGCTGAAGAAGGACACGGGGAAGGACCACAAGGAGGAAGAGAAGAGCTCAGCATTGAAGAAGGAGGCAGGGAAGGATAAAAAGGAGGAGAAGGGCTCAGATGTAAAGAATAAGGATGCAGGGAAGGAGAAAGAGGAAGAAGAGAAGGGCTCAGCAGCAAAGGAGACAGGGAAGGACATAAAGGAAGAAAAGGTTTCAGCATCCAAGAAGGACACAGGGAAGGACAAAAAGGAGGAGGAGAAGAGCTCAGAACCAAAGAGACAGGTGGAGAAAGCCATGGGAGGGGAAGGGGAGAAAGGCAAAGAGAAAAAAGAAGAGGAAAAGAGTTCAGCCAGGGTGGAGGAGAAGGAGAAACCCCGGGCGGAGGCAGAAAAGGCGGTGGAGGAGAAGCGGGAGGGCAAGGCAGGACCCCCCAAAGCCACAGAGCCACCCAAGGACGACGAGGCCTCGAGCATCTTTGACGAGCTCATCGAGAAGGTGAAGAACAACGACGCAGAGGTGACCGAGGTGAACGTCAACAACTCCGACTGCATCAACAACGAGACCCTGGTGCGCTTCACCGAGGCCCTGGAGTTCAACACCGTGGTCAAGGTGTTCGCCCTGGCCAACACCCGCGCTGACGACCACGTGGCCTTCGCCATCTCCATCATGCTCAAGTCCAACAAGGTGCTGACCAGCATCAACCTGGACTCCAACCACATCACGGGCAAGGGCATCCTGGCCATCTTCCGGGCGCTGCTGCAGAACGACACCCTGACGGAGCTGCGCTTCCACAACCAGCGGCACATCTGCGGCGGCAAGACCGAGATGGAGATCGCCAAGCTGCTCAAGGAGAACACCACCCTGCTCAAGCTGGGCTACCACTTCGAGCTGGCCGGGCCGCGCATGACCGTCACCAACCTGCTGAGCCGCAACATGGACCGGCAGCGGCAGCGGCGCCTGCAGGAGCAGAAGCTGGCGCAGGAGAGGGGCGAGAAGAAGGACCTGCTGCAGGTGCCCAAGGCTGGGGCACCGCCCAAGGGGTCCCCCAAGGCGTCCCCGCAGCCGTCGCCCAAGGCCTCCCCCAAGAGCTCCCCCAAAGCAGGGGGGGGCCCCACGGCGCCGCCCCCGCCGCCCCCTCCGCTCGCCCCACCCCTGATCACCGAGAACCTGCGGAACTCCCTGTCCCCGGCCACGCAGAGGAAGTTGGGGGACCGGGCGCTGCCAGCGCAGGAGAAGAACTCGCGGGACCAGCTCCTGGCAGCCATTCGCTCCAGCAACCTCAAACAGCTCAAGAAGGCAAGTCGGGGCTCTGGAGGGGCCCGTTTTTGGGGGGGTGGGCTCTGGGTGAGGGATGAGGGTGCGAGTGTTGTCACTCGGGCACTGGAGAGGGGAGGGGAGGGTTGTCCTCCAGAATGGGGGGTCTGTGGTCCCAACCAGACACGGGCATGGGGGTCCCAACTCCTGTGCAGGGGGATCCATCCCTTTGCCAAGGACATGGGGGACTAAAGGGATCCTTTAGCATCCCTTGTAGGGCAGGTGGGATCAGCAGATCCAGATGGGATCAGTGGATCCATCTCTTGGCAGAGCATCCAGCAGGAGGACATCCAATCCTTGGCAGAGCACCAAAGGGGCAGATCCATCCCTTGGCAGAGCTCCTGGCATGGATCCACGAGGATCCAGGGGCTGAGGCACCAGGAAGGAGCCATCCATAGCTCCTGCTGCCCGGCTAAGCCACAGCCCCAGGGTGGGAGGTGGGAGAAGCTGCGTCTCCAACGCTGATCCCAACAGGGAGCCCTGGAACACCTCCCTCACTCCCGGGGTTTTGTGTCCCTGTCCTCGGGCTGGAGCACGGGGACAACCAGCCTGGCCAAGGGAAGGAGCTCGTGGAATCCCAGGATGGTTTGGATGGGAAGGGACCTTGAAGACCGTCCAGTTCCAATTCCAACACTTTCCACTATCCCAGGCTGCTCCAACCTGGCCTTGGACACTTCCAAGGATGGGGCAGCCATGGCTTCTCTGGGAATTCCATCCCAGCACCTCCCAGGGAAGAATTCCTCCCCAATATCCCATCTATCCCTGCCCTCTGGCACTGGGAAGCCATTCCCTGTGTCCTGTCCCTCCATCCCTTGTCCCCAGTCCCTCTCCAGCTCTTTTCGAACAGCTCCCTGTGCCAGCTGCTCCAAGGGCAAACCACTCTGCTCCAAGTTTTCTGGAATCCTGGAATGGTTTGGGTTGGAAGGGACCTCAAAACTCATCCAGTCCCAACCCTGACACTTTCCACTATCCCAGGTTGCTCCAAGTTTATCCAACGTGGCCTTGGACACTTCCAGGGATGGGGCATCCTTTGCAAAATCCATCCCAGGGCCTCCCCAACCTCCCAGGGAAGAATTTCCCCCCAGTCCCCCCTCCCCCTGCCCTGGATGTCCCCGGAGCTG